CAGTGTTTCATTATGTACCCCTGGCTAGCTTGAAACTTGCTGTATAGACCAGACCAGCATGACTTTTTAAAACAAATTTGGAAACAAGGAGCATCTTAGCCTGATTCTCTGCTGCTGTTATAAACCACTCAGACCAAAATCAACTTCGATGAAGAAAGGTTTTTTTTTTCAGCTTATAAGCTGTGGTTCACAATTAAGTGAAGGCAAGACAAGGACTCAAGGCAAGAGATTGAAGCAGAAACCATGGAGGACTGCTCCTTACTTACTGGCTTGCTCTCAGGCCCACCTGCCTAAGAATGGTGCCGCCCACAGTGGAGTGGGTTCTCCTATGTCAGTTTCTGTCCAAGGAAATGTCCCCACAGACATGCCCACAGTCCTGTCCTATGGAAGCAGTTATTTCATTGAGATTCCCTCTTCACAGAAGTTTGACAACCAGGATTACCCATCCTAAGTTTATACTCGTGCTGATTAATTCTGGCCCACCACTGCTGAATTCATTCTAGCTTCCCTTTTCTTATGCTTGTAATTCCCCTGTTCAATAGTGAGAATTTGAATTCCCCCTAATGGGGAAAATTTTGTCAGTTTCACCGTAGGAAACCAGTCACTTATTTCCTTACACTGTGTTCTTCAGCCCCACTGGAGATCAGTCATCCCACACTGGCTGACGTAAGCTCTGTGGTCCTCACCAACCATTTCCCTCACTTGCTCACTGGGACCTCCTCAGTCGCAGTGTGGATGGACTTCATCCAAGGAGTTTGTAAAGATGAGTTGTTCAGGAATGAATAGAGAGAGAAGTAACAGAGCAGGGCATTTCAGATAGGAAACAAACCCTTAAGTGATCTGAAGAACACAAATATCATTCCCTGCCAAGGAACTGGTAACCACGTGTGCATATACGCCTTTAAGTTTCCAGAGCATAGGGTGAGGGAGTACAAATGAGTTACAGAGACAGAATGAGACAATTAAAATATCAACAGAACACGCAACCTTCAGGAATGGCTTTCCTCAGAGTGCTAAGTAGCACCTGTGTCTCTTAGGTGTAAAATCAATACATTAGCCTTTTGCCAAACAAACTGAAGTCACAGCTCATTGGTTCAGTACTTGGATCTTTGACACTGTCTCTGTTTTCAGGTTGTTTATGATAATATTTAGCATAGAACTGAAAGCAACCCTGCTGTTACAGAAATTTAAGCTTTATTTCCTGCTTTTGTGATTAATTTGTCAGCTTTAACATCCCCCAAACGACAGTACAATGTATTCTTACATTGAAATCTACCCATCTCTTCCTCCAATTGGTGCGGGTGGGGCCTGTGGCTTAGGTGGTTACTCTTTCTCCAGGTGCAGGTGTGGCCTGTGACTCTGGTGATCACTCCTCCAGGTGCAGGCAGGGGCGGGGCACAGGTTCTGGTGGTCACTGATGTGGCAGGGGGTGTGGGGAGGCTGCTGGGGCTTCTATGGATGAGGGCAGGACTTGGGATGTGCCACCAGAGGCTAGGGCCTAGAGAGCACAGCTGTCCAGCTGGGAGCCCAGACCACAGTGTAGAGGACTTTGGGTTTATCATCCCTCTGGGATGCAGCACACAGCACTACCCTCAAACCTTCTGTGACTAAAACCCCAGGAAAGGCCTGTGATAACAGATTTGTTTGGTGGTTTTGTGATTATTTTTTCTTTAACAGGACCTAAATTGCCTTAAATTTATCTGACTTACACTGTAGCTTTGCCTGGATTTAAAATAGCTTTAAAATTATTTCAAAATTTGCCAAAACACCCTTATGAAAAAAGATCATCCAATTAGATCAATCAAAAAAGACAACTTTAAGAAATGCCAGAGTGTGTCCCTCATTTGAAGATGGATGTCTGGAATAGTTTATCTCGGTTCCTGATTCTCATGAGGCTACTGGAGGAAACAAATAGATGCTTCTAAAAGCAGCTAATGGATTCCACACCGCCTATTCCAAAAGAATATTCTCTTTAAAGAATAACTTCAGTCTCCCATACCAAATGGTTAAATCCATAATCATTCATTTTTTAAAATAGTCAATTCCCAATAGTCCATATTTTAAATGAATCACATAAAATATAATCATTATTTTGTATTCAGAATGTTTGAAAAACAGTCTCCAATTTGTCAACTATTCAAGGACTAGGCAAGAATAATAACACAGTTCACAATTCTGTGGCACTAGTATTTTGTCTGATATGCTTTCTGCAATGATTTCTCCTTTAATCCTCAGTGAAATAATTACATTAAAATTTTCTGCCCTATGTATTTTGAGATTCACACTCATGCTCACGCCATGTTTTACCCATTGAGTGTGTAACTTGGACAAGTTCTGATAGCATTTGGTAAGCAGAAGACATGATCTGTATCAGGTTAAGAGTCCTTTTTTAAGTTTTTCTCTTTTAAAATTTATTTTACTTAATTTTTCCCTTTTTTCTCTTAAATTTTGCTTTATTGGGGGTGCAGGGGCAACAAGCAGATGCAAAGGGACAGGGACCAAATACATGATGCAAAGGTCATAAAGACAAAATAAGTAGATAAATTAATGAATAAAGAGCCCTTAGCATTTTTCATATCTTGATTATGTTTGGCAGTCTAGGGTATTTCAGTGATGTTTTAAAATAAAAAATAAATTGAATAAATGAATTGTGAATGAAGCCAAATATAAAAAATTGTTATTAAAGTGTCAAAAGAGAATTTGTTATATGATAAAATGTGTTTTTTAAAATAATAGAATTAAATAAAGGGTCTAGTGACAGTTCCACAGCACCATCATTTTAACATGCTAATAAGTAGGAATAGCATTTGCGGTGCCTGCAACAATCCAAATGTGATTTTAAAATATGCATGAGTTCTGATGCTGATAAAGTCACAGACCTAACGGCATCCGAGCTACTCGCCAACATGCATAGCTACTGGAAATTTAATTACAAATGACGGAAAAAAATGTAGTGCTTTCTCATATTTAAGCTTTAAAATGCTCCTGAATTCCATCCATCAGATGATGCCCAAGAGACTTTCCAGCAAAAATATTGTTAAGGCCCCATAAACAGTTCTTCTGTGTATCTAACTCCTGTCTGCGCAAAGTGTAGTCTGCGGACCATCAGTACCACCTACCTGGGGACCTTAGACATGCGGAGACCCTCAGGACTCCCTTCAAATCTACCAAGTGCACATCTGAATGGTTTGCGAGATCCCCAGGCAACTCAGCACACATATCACTGTCTGCCACGTGTCACTTTACATCAAGCAGTTCCACCTGTCTGGGTGCATCTTGGCTCCGATCAAACCAAACGTCAAATGTCTCAAAGCTAAAAGAATGGCTTCAATCTAAAAACAAAACAAAAGAAAAGAAAAAAAAAACAAAACTTGCCCTTATACCCAAAGTCTACCTAACGGCAAGGAGAATCATGCTCTTAGACCCTCAAAGAGATTTTAGTGGAGTTTTCAGTTGGGAGTTATTGAGGGACCGATTAACCGGGATCAGTAACTGATTGGCTTTGAGTTGCTCTGTAACACGGGAGAACTACAGGGAGAAAATTTGAGATCCGCTCTGAAAAGCAGATGAGAAATGATAGAACTCCGGCTGTGTAACCAGGCCAAGAGAGGGGTCCGTGTTTAACTGGACGCAGTGCAAGCGATGTTTGTGGCCCACGCCTTGCTTTGAGCGCCACGGCTGTTTGAACAGCACAGTGTATGTTTTTGTGACTATGTGGTTTCACGGCTAAGGAGCCAGTATCATAGGCCTGAAAAATATTAGGTAAACAGTGGGTTATGTTTTTTTTCAGTCCTGAAGATTGAATCCAGGGCCTTCAACAAATTAGACAAGCCCTCTTTTTATTTTTATTTTGAGGCAGTCTCACTAAAGTGCCCAGGATCAAGTTGAACTCACTCATTGGTGTCAGCAGGATTTGAACAAGCGTTGCTTTTGTCTTAGCCTCTCATCAGTTCAGTTACACTGCCAGGCCCAACTGTTGCTCCTAAAAATGCTACTGTTACTATTGTTGTTATTTTCATCATTATTGTGTGTGTGTGATGTGTGTGTGGAATTGGATATATCAGTGCATATGCATGGAGGTCAGAGGACAACTGTGTAGAGTCAATTCTCTCCTCGCACCTTTCTGTGTGTTCTGGACACAGAACTCAGCTTAGGCTCACACAGCAAGCATCCTTACCCACTGAGGGTGAGTTATCTCCTGGCCCCCAGCTGTGTCTAAACCAGGAAGGAAAGCAACTATTCCCCTGCCTGAAAGTGAAACTCTCTCATAGAAGTTTCAGTGTAATATACATTCCTTGGGAACCTCTTTTGTACCAGGTAGTGAAGATTAAGGAATGAATACAACACTGTCCTTACCATACATGAGCTGTTGGTTTTTTCTGGGAACTAGGCAACCATAACAACAAATTAGGCTCTACAATGAAAGCACACAAGATGTTACTCTAGGGCAGCAAAGAGCTACAGTTCACTCTCTAACTCAACTATTCATTTTGCTGGCTCATTCATTCTTTGCTTTGTTCAATAGTATTTATTAGGCCGTTACTCAAGGCCATACGCTAGTCTTTGTAGCTGAGTATAGAATGCTGACATTGGAAATTGTAAGATGTGTTGTAAGTATACTGTATTTCATTTGCCATACTTGGAAAACTGAGTCTTACCCAACAGACAAATGGAAAATACTAAGATATTTTTCTGGAAGTTACTGATGTTATTTGATGTTTGAAATAATGACTATTGGGACTATCATGATTGGTGACCAGAAAGGGAAACTTAAGTGACCATTTGAAGACTAGATCTGAAAAGAACATTCTTATGAAGTCATCTGCATTTATAAATTCTCTCATTCTTTTCCTGTTAATAATATAGGTACTAAAATATCCAGCCTCTGTTGGAATGTTCTAGTTTGAAAATCTTCTTGTCTTCAGTAGTTTTTGTTTGTTGGAATGTATATATAAATTTACTGTCAGTACTAAAATATTTTTCTATTGTTGCTTTTGCAGCTTTGGACACTTGTCTTAATCTTATGGCCAGTCATTATTTTCATAATTCTGGCTATTACTCGGACCAAATTTCCACCAACAGCAAAACCAACTTGTAAGTAAATAACTGGTTGTTTTTCTATTGCTTGTATTCTACTTAAAATTTACTTTAGTGCCATGTCAGTGCTCAATTATAAACTTTATTTTTTTAGATGGTATTTCCTCTGCATAAAAAGTTTGTGTGGACTCTGGCGGGGTAAGGAACACAAGAAGTTAGGAGGGAAAAGTGCTACAGACAAGGGGATGGAGGAGAAATAGGAGGGTGGGAATGGAAGGTGATTAAAAACATATTATGTAGATGTTTGAAATTCTTAAACAACAAAAACATTGAACCATAGCCAGATATGGTGATACACGTTTATAATCCCAGCACTTGGAAGACCAAGACAGGAGAATTATGAGTTAGATGTCAGTCCAGGCTTCACAGCTACCAAAAAAAAGCTACAATTTTGTATTATATAGTTATCTAGAAAAACACAGGACAGATGGAGGACAGATGAACTAAATCTTCCTGTCTATATCACGAGTCTCTCTATGGCACACAACAACACAAGGCAGCCACCACAGACTCCATCATTCTCCCCTCCCATGGTAGAAAATACAGACTGGTATTTGATCAACTGCGCAAACAAAATCCTGGACTGCAAACACCTCTTCTGTTCTTCACTGACGAGAGCTGAGAGTATAAATGTGTCAACACATTTTGTTTGAAAGAAGGGTGTTTCCCAATTATGGCTGTTTCTCTTCTATGAAGTCACCGCCCAGTTATAAAGTCCGCAGACTGCCTAACTCACTCCATCGTTTTCCTTTGGAGCTGACACAGAGATGCAGGAAGGACTCAGGAAGTCCTTGGCATCAGAGGGGGAACTTTGAGCCCCGATTATTTGACCGGTGCAGCTTTCAGTGTATTGCTATTGGTGTTCACTTCTTTGGGGGATTAGTTTTCTTAGTTTGGGAGGAAAAGACTAGTAATATCTTTCTAAGTAGCCACCTCCTCAAAATATCCTTATAAAACAACTTTACCGAAGCCAACTTCAAATAACTATGACAGTTGGCAGTGGACCAGAATACAATGCTAAATTAATTTTTGAAGAATAACAGTAACATGCTACTGACTATAAAATAAGTACAGTGATTTTTCAGTCATATGACTGGGCATGAGACATAGGACGTGAACCATGTGGAATCTATTTCAATCATGCACAGCGGGATAATTCAGAAAATATCAACGAAGTTAGTGTAAAGCATTTAAACCCTTCATGCTAGAGCAAGCAATTCCTTACATGCTAATAGCACCCTTTTTCTGAAGGATTTTCCCATAAGCCGTTATGTACAGTTGCCAATGAGAAATAATTAAGTTGTTATTAAAACAGCTTAATTCCATTTTGTGTTGCATAAGCATTAGCTCTTTGTAACAGTTTGGGGGTGTATTTAGTGAAGTTTATGTGTCCTTTACATCTTCAGTATATAAGACTTAAGAAGGAAAACACAGACTGTAGCAACAATACAATCAGCATGGACTGACTATTGAACTTGAGATATTCTACTTTAAGAGGCAATTGACTGATTCGCCGATTAGTAACAGGTTCTTTCAACCCCTTTTCACCAACTTCTTATTTTAAAATATTTTTTTCCAGTTACTTAAAATTTTCTTGTGAAACTTTAAGGAAAGAAATTTAAGGTTTGGTAATGAATGGTTTTAAACTGACTGGTGCAATCCGGTAGGAGTTAGAAACTCTTGGAGGAAACCCTGAAGAGGCCTCAGCATGCCCCTGAGCTAGCAAGAAACACAAGAGTGAGTAGGGCCTCCAGGCCTGATCTGGAGGGTCCTGAAAGAAACAAGACCCAGAGAGGAGATGAGAAGCCATTGTAATGCGTAACTGTTAGCACACCATAGTAATAATTGGATATAAAGTGATCTTGTCTGAAGGTGAAGAACAAAATTACAGTAGAGTCCAAACACTGAACATATATTTGCTACCCTCATAGACAACATAAGCCTTGTCCAAACCAAACCAAAACAGATTGGTTTGTTATCAGGACTAGAAGGGACCTGCTCATATTACACTCGAGACATCCAGTGCCCAGAGAGATTGTGATTTGCCAGAATCAATCATGTGGACACAAGAGAAAGGTATTGGAAACCAGTTATCTTTGCTTGTTGTTTGTTTTTGAGATTTTTTTTGAGGCTATATTAAGTCTCTTAAACCATCAATCCTTTCTAATTCTGGATAAATAAGAGTAAAAGAAAATGGTGTTAAGGATTGCAACTCACAATTCATAGAACCCCCCAATTATACTATTGAAAGTGTTGTTTTGGAAATTAATATAAAAGGTGTTGCCCACTCCACCCCTGCCCTCACCCCTATAGTAAAAATAACTCCTCGATGACAGTTTGGATCTAGGTATTTTTATGTTGTTGCTTTAGTTGTTCTTGCTTTGGATCTTACAATTTTATTAATTCATAATATTGAAAAATTAAAACTGACTAACAAAAGAAAATAATAAATAGTTATCGATCTCATACTCTGTGGCGGGCACTCAGGGAGACGATGAACAGATTATTTATTTCATAACTGAGAAAACTGATGCACACAGAAGCAGAGAAACTGAACTAAAATTACAGTGGTGTGTGGTGAGGTCAGGCTGTGGCAGTCTGGCTTGAGACTCTGATAGTAAGCTTCTGAAACTCGTAATTCTTACGTCTCATCGCTAGGGCTTGGTTTTCATGTCACATCCCTTGTATCAGTAAAAGAGAACTAAACATCACGGGTTAAAGATGTATGCTATCCTGTCATGAAGTCAGGAATATGGAGAAAGGCTCTGGGGTGTATATCTTGGAGTCTTTCTTGATATTCGTATTAAGTGAAGCGTGTTCTGACTCATGCTGCATCACTGTGACTGTAATATTACAGATATCAGATCCTGTTTCAAAGAGGGAAAACCCTTTCTGGGCTATACTACTGGTTAGGCAATTGAATAATATGATGAGACATTAGACTACACCCTTTGATGAAACTTGGTCATGATGAGTGACGTTTGTAATCCCATGGTCACATTCTGCTCTCAGGATAGCTCAGCAGGCCTGTGGGAATCTGTAAACCACTCAGAAGAATATAATAAGTAACTCAAAGACTCCCTCTGTAGTACTTTTGATGTCTGGACACTGAAATTGTCTGGGTTTGGGGTGAGTGAGAAAGCCACTGTAGACCGATGTGGTGGGAGCCTGTGTGAGCTTATTCATGCTGTCATATGCCTTCTCTCACCCTTTCATGTTGCAACAAACAGCTCTTGCATGTTGCAAATCTCAGGGAAAGAAAACCTCCCAAGCCTGGTAGGCAGGCCCTGATACCTCTCCTTGGTTCTGGCAGAAAGCAGCCATGGCGCCAACTTTGAAGTCTGCCCAACCTCTTGCAATCTCCACATGTAGTAACTTGTCAAGAGATGATCTTCAAAGTGCAGGCTCCCCACTCAGGAGCAAAGTGAAAGCAAACACAGCAAGTCTCTCCAGCACACACTCAGACTAAGCTCAACTATAATACACCACAGAGTTTTCTTCTCTTATTATACACATATCCAGAAGGTCCGGGGCATGCTGGCCTTTGAGGGACAGTTTATTAAGACCAGTAAGATATTGTCTGACTGAGACCAGTTGAAGCCAGAGGATGAAATTCTGACCAACAAGGCTTCACATTGTCTTGTGTATGATTTTAATAAATATTTTCAGATGATTGAAAATATTACTAAAAGTATAATGAAAAGTATGTTGTACAAATATCACCGTATATTGAAGAAAAACTCCAATATGTTCAAGCTTTCATTTCCTAATAATCCTGCTCCTTAGAGAGTAGCAAATGCACCCACTACACACATATCAGAACTGATAGGAGCTGGTAGTAGGCAGGGGTCAATTGAATTACACCAGTCTATGCTATCATAGGGTTACACTGAAATCTGTGTGTCTATATGTGACTTCATGGCTTGGATGAATTCAAGCTCAACTAACATTTTTGAGCACATGTTTTGACCACCAAAGCATACATACCTTTTGTATGTATGGACACATGAAAATAATGACAGGAAACTAGACAACACTATATGGAAGACAGATGTTGGAGCCTGTGATCACATTATCTCAGTTAACACATCAACTCTTTTTTTTCTCTTCCTTTTTTTTATTTAAGTTAAAAACAAGTTTGTTTCACATGTCAATCCCAGCTCCCTCTCCTCCTCCTCATCCCTCCCTACCAGGCCCCTCAGTCCCCCACCCAATATCCACTCAACACATCAACTCTTTGAGCTATTTTGAAAACACCCAAATGTTAAGAGCTCACTCCACCCCTTCCCTCACCCCTATAGTAAAAAGACGACTGGGTAAAAAAAATCAAGTACAAGCCTAGATATTTTTTACCCCGGTTTCAGCTACACATCTGTGCATTTATTTAGATCCTGAGGCTTAGCTCAGTCTTTGCTTTCTTCTGTCCACCATCTATCAGCACTGCTATAGATTGAAAAGTGACCTCAATTGACTTTTCTGCCTATCAGCAGATTGAGGAAACAAAGTTTTAAGGAAGACTGAAATTGTTGATCAATGACTGGCAGGTCCATGGGATCCGTGCAGGTTGTTTTTGCTATGATGCCTGAATTGTTAAGATGGTATTGAGTCATCTGTGCTGAAAGAGCTTGTGAGGTATCTCTTGGGTGAGAGTTAAGGAAGTCAGGGAGATGCGGCATTTTTCTCTTGATTTTTCCCGGGATGTTTTCACTCCTGTGTGGCGGATTCCAAGGTGTATTTGCTCTCTAGTACTGTCACATGTGTCAGTGGAACTGTTGAGGGATTCAGGGTCCATCATTTCCTTTACTCTCTTGATTGGGTCGAAACTTATTGGTTGATCTTAGCCACGGATGGTGAACTCTTTTTCTGTTAGTTGGTCTAAGGAAAATGAGAAGGAAGATTGAAATTATTGGTCACTTGGTGGTTTGTGGGACCCATGCAGACTGTTGTACGCAGGGTTATAGGATTTTGTTCTGGTAAAACCAGGACTCAGCATTATT